TAGCTGGGACTACAGGCTTGTGCCACCATGCCCGGCTAATTTTTATATATATATTTTTAGTTGGCCAATTAACTCTTTCTATTTATAGTAGGAGGGGGGTCTCGCTCTTGCTCAGGCTGGTCTCAAACTCCTGACCTTGAGTGATCCTCCCACCTTGGCCTCCCAGAGAGCTAGGATTACAGGCGTGAGCCACTGCACCCGGCCCGAGTCCTTTTCTGAGTGCGGGACAAGGACCCCGGGAGATGGTGTCCTCTGGTTCTCTGCGGGGAGGCTTCTAGAAGCACAGGAGACACACGTGAATAGGGCAAATGTCAGAGCAGCCGTGGCAGACAGGGACGAAAGCGTGGCATGTGGGTGGGCTGAGGTGTCACGGGAGAGGCCCAGAGGACTTGCCGTGGACCAAGCCCTCAGGACTGTGCGGGAGAGGTGCTGTCGTCGGGAAGCTCAGCGGTGTCACCTGGCAGGGCCGGGTGACAGCAGGAGACACTGTCACTGAACTGTGTGCACCAAAAACGCAGGGGGCAGTGTGTGACCATCCATGGCCCGTGGCTGTGGCTCCCTAAGGAGCAGCAGGGTTGGGCAGGGCCAGGGGCCAGAGGGCTGACTGACAGGCGGCCGGCCAGGGGTGGCTCAGCTTGTGGGTGCAGAAGGGATCAAGGATACATATGGGCCGGGCCTGGTGGCTCACGCCTGTCATCCTAGCACTCTGGGAGGCCGAGGCAGGTGGATAGCTCAAGGTCAGGAGTTCGAAACCAGCCTGAGCAAGAGCGAGATCCCATCTCTACTATAATTAGAAAGAAATTAATTGGCCAACTAAAAATATATAGAAAAAATTAGATAGGCATGGTGGTGCATTCCTATAGTCCCAGCTACTTGAGAGGCTGAGGCAGAAGGATTGCTTGAGCCCAGGAGTTTGAGGTTGCTGTGAGTGAGGCTGATGCCACGGCACTCACTCTAGCCTGGGCAACAGGGTGGGACTCTGTCTTAAAAAAAAAATTTAAAAAAAGGATACATATGTGTGGGGGGCCTGGGCAGCTGCTCCCATAAGGTCATGACCCCTTACCCTGTTTCCAGACCCAAGTGGGTTTTCAGCCCCAGAACCCACTGACGGAAGGGAGGCTGGGTCCCCAAGAGGAAGAGTCGGCAACACCCAGGCGAGTTGGCACCGTCACCGTGCTGCCCATCCTTCCCCGAAGTGCTGGGGGCCAAGGACTCAGGTGACTGCACACAGGGCAAGGGACACACCTGAGCATCCCAAGAACGGCCGGCGCAGGGTTTGCATGGATGTTGCCGTCTGGGGGCCGGAAGTGCATCGCGGCTCACGTCAGAGTCGGGGGCTTACAGGACCAGGTGACAGATGGAATCCGGCATCGTCTGGTCACTGGCGTTGAGTCTGCACATCCACCCCTGGTCGTGTCCCCGGTCCCAGAGCAGACGGTGAGCAGACTCGTGGTGGTGGCCGCTGGGCCTTTCACGTCATAAGGGGAGGTCCGGGTGCTCTGCACCTGTCCCCACCTGGGATAGTAAACCGAAGAAGCATGATGTCCTGGGAGTGATTAGGGACACATTTAAAGGCCTGAAGGATGCAAGCGTGGTGGTTTCCCATCACATCTCCATTGATCCTGCCAGCCTGACCACCACGGACGGCACCCGGGTGGGCCCCGGAGGAGGAGAGGGGTCTGCAGTGGAAACAGCCCCGGGGGGTCTGGCGTCTCTGGTAGAGGAGGGCTTCGTGGCGCCGGGCGTGTGGAGTGTGCACTTCTCTGTCCCTCTCCGGCAGGAGGCTGGGGCTCGGCACACGTGCACTTGGCGTGCACAACAGATCACGTGCAGCCCTCTCCCCCCCACCCCCGGCTATGGTCATGGTCTCTCACGACATCCTAGAGAGACCCGCGCCAGCTGAAATGCCCTGAACGTCGCACAGGGCCCCGCGTCGATGGCCCTGTGCCGACGAGACCAGGTGACGGAGAAGTGGGTGCACTGGGGCTCTCGTGGGACACGTGTGTTCCAGCGAGAGGGAGTCCCTTCCCAAGCTGAGGACACTCGGCTGCACGGTGCACCCTCCGGTAGGACACGGCACCTGTGCTGGTCCACGCGTGTGGGCTCGGTCCCAGCCCAGTGCCGGGGCTGACCTTGGGGTCGGGGCACAGCAGGAACGGGCTGCTCCAAGCTGCAGCAGGAGTGCCCATGCTGCCACGTGCGCCCCGACCCCACAGACTGGGGCGCGGGTATGAAGAGTGGGGTCCCAGGCCGAGCCCCGTGGAGGATGCAGAGTCTGTGCGTCCTGCAGTGGGGGGCTGTCCGCCCGCCCGGAGAGCCCCTGGCACAGCTCTGGGTCCTGGCAGCGGTGGACTGCCTGGCGGCAGGGAGCCCGCTGGCCCTGGCTGTCCAGACCTGCCCCGCCCTAAGGAGGCAAGGCCCAAGGACATTCACTTCCAGGGGGACGGGGCGCCTCAGTGTGCTGAACGCCCAGGTGGTTCCTTTCCCGGAGGACACCTGCGTTCACACCAGGGCCATGCTCCCTGCTGGAGCACCCGGCTGAGGTCCAGGCGGCTGCCCCAGGGCTCCCATCAGCATCTGCTTTGGCTGACTCTCGGCGCTGGGCTGTCCCTGTGCGGGGTGTCCTCTGCCTCCAACCACCCCTCCCCAGTCAGGGCAGATGGGGGTCCACAGACAGCGCTCCACGTGCTGCCTGTTGAGGACCGCTGGTCACGGGACCCGGCCTGACACCCGTCGCGTGAGACGGGGACATGTGTCCGGGCGGGGTGGCTCACACCTCTAATCCTAGCACTCTGGGAGGCCAAGGCGGGCGGATGGTTCAAGGTCAGGAGTTCAAGACCAGCCAGAGCAAGAGCGAGACCCCGTCTCTACTAAAAGTAGAAAGAAATTAACTGGCCAACTAAAAATATATATATACATATATTAAAAAAATTAGCCAGGCATGACGGCGCATGCTTGTAGTCCCAGCTACTCGGGAGGCTGAGGCAGGAGGATGGTTTGAGCCCAGGAGTTGGAGGTTGCTGTGAGCTAGGCTGACGCCACGGCACTCTAGTTTGGGAAACAGAGTGAGATTGTGTCTCAAAACAAACAAACAAAAAAATGGACGGGGACACTTCACAGAGAAGCTAGAGCAGAGGTGGGCAGTGACCGAGGGGCGCTTCCAGAAGCTTCTGGCCCTGCAGGGCGTGCGGTGCCCTGGGGGGATGGAAGCCCCGCCGGGACCTGAGCGTGCCTGCGTCCCCAGAGGACGCCGGGCCTGGGAACGGAGGGTGGGAGCTTGGCGGCCCTGCAGGCCCACGCGGCTCCGAGCGGGCGGCGCGGCCCGGGCGGCAGCGGGACCCGAGCCCGGCCCCGCAGCGCCACCTGCCGGTCCCGCCACCTGCCGGCCGCGCCCCCGCCGGTCCCGCCGCCCGAGCGCGGTCCGCAGGTCGCCGCGGGCGGAGCTGCGTGGGGAGGGGCGCGCGCCCCGGACCCCGTGGGGGTCGCCGACACCCGCGCCCCAGGTGGACCCGCAGCCCCGCGGCCCCCGTCGCCCCCCGGGGCCTCTCGCGTTGCCAGCTGCAAGGTGCTGCGCGGCCGCACCTGGGAGGTGGCTTGGGCGCCGCCGTGGGCCGGAGACGGGCCGACAGCGCCTCCCCGGGGAACCCGCCGGGCCGTGCTTGCGGGTGGCACACGCGTATACCCGAGTGCTCCAGCCCTGGCCGGCCGACTTGGCCCCCGCTTCCCCTCCGCCCCGCCCTGGGAGTCCCCCCGCTGCCCTGTGCCCTCTCCTCCTGCTCACCCAGACACCCCACCTCCCACCTGTCCACCGCTCTGCCACGCCTGGCGTCACACCCACCTGATAGTCCTCCCGTCCCAGCTCTCGACCGGCCCCACCCAGTCACCTCCCTTCCACGCAGCCTGAGGGGTCCGGGGCGCCCCCCAGTTGCAGGGTCCATCCTTCCGCTTGGTGGCCCAGGGAGGCACAGCCTGCGTCCCCCCACCCGCCTGCCCCGCCCTTCTTGCTATCACCATCCGTGTCCTCCTCACCACGCTCTGCCCTCACTTCTAAGCCGCCCCCCCTCCTGCCTGCACCGTGGCGATGCCGTCTCCGGACGGTCTTGTGACGTAGGAGAGACCAGTGCCAGCGTGCCACGGTCGCTGCACGGGTCTGAGCTGCACGAGAGCAGCCCACCCCAGCCGTGTATGCGAGCCGTGCTCCCTCCAGGAATCCAGGGAGACCTGGCCTGGGGCTAGACGGTGTTCGGTTACCACGAGGAGGGGCAAGGCCAGCTGGGACAGCAACAGCCCAGGAAGAACCAGAGGCAAGACTCAGCCCTGCCCACCTGGGACCCCTGGGAGTGGGGGAGAGTCCTGGCCACAGGGGCTCTGACCCTGTGCCCGGGTCAGAGTGACCACCTAGGGCCCAGCACGCATGGGCGCGTCAAGGTGTGGGGTGGGCTCCCTGATCCAGGAGGATGCAGGGGCCGCGCAGGGAGGGAAGCAGCAGCCACGCACCCAGGGCGACGTCCACGCAGAACGGGCGGCTGGAGGGCTTGGGCGGCGTGACCGAGGAGCGGGAGAAGGGGTGGTGGGGCCGGGTGGAACGGGCCCTGGGGGCCGCTGGGAGACCCCGGTGGGCCAGAGCCCACGCAGAGGCCGAGCCTCCCAATCCCACGGCCAGCTTTTCTCGTTCCCAGAGGAGGAGCTGGCCTTGGGGTCGGTCTGTGATGGACCTCTGTCTCCAGCTGTGCCCCAGGGATGGCCTTTCACCCACCCGAGGGTCCTCTTCCTCTCTGTAGTCCCCGCACAGCGTTCGCTCGGCGGGGCTGCTGCAGGGGGGCCTGGGCCTCCCGCCCCTCCCAGGTGCGCCGTGCCCTGCCCCGCCCCCACCCGTTCAGGGACAGCAGAGCCACCTGCCCACGAGGACCTGCCGCCTCTGCGGACCCCGGCCGTCCTAGCAGGACGTAGCAAACTGAAGGCCTGTGCAGGGAGGCGAATCCACACACCCCATTCCCGACTACCTTCAAGGGTCAATTTTATTACAAAGAACTGTATCAAAATAAACGAGTCTGTTTATGAACAACTGAGAAATGCAGCTCTGAGGGCCAAATGAGTGTCAATCAACCATTTCAAGGGCAGCTCCTCCCCTGGACTGTCCACCTGCCGGGGTGGGGACGGCGTCCCTGGAGCCACGGTCCACGCGGGACGTCGTTCTGAATAATTTAAGGGGCGAATCTGGCTTCTGACGCTGGGTGTGTTGTCACAGGTCTTCCCGGGAGGGCGGCTGTGCCGGGCTTCCTTCTTCTGCGCCGTCTGTCGGAAAACAGATCGTCGAGGGAAGAGCCCCACGGAGGGCCCGGGATCCAGGCTTCCCCTGGGACCACAGAGGGTGGCCTGACGTGGGCCACCCGGCCCTGGGGACGGTGCCCGGCTCCCTCTGGACACAGCAGCCCCTCCACGCCCAGCTGGAGACCAGGACCCGGGTGTCCCGTTGCCCCCCCATGGCTGGGGCACCCAGGCAGGCGAGACGTGGCCAGATGGCATTTCAGAGCCACCACCCTGCCACAGCGTGGAAGACTCGAGCCGTGGGGGGGTGGACGGTGTGGGGCCCATCGGGACACGCTGGGCCAAAGGGATGGGGCCGGCCAGTGGCCTCGAAGCAGGGTGAGCAGGACCCGGCCCCCGGCTCCCCCTTCCGTTTGCTACCAGGCCCCTGTATGTGGAGTCGCTTTTACTGTCCTCCTCGGGACTCGGAGCTTCTGGAACACGAGCCGGGTCTTATTCATTCTGGAACGCTCTTAGCCATCGCCTCACTGAACGCTGCTTCTGTCCCCCCTCCACGCCACGCACAGAACCGTGTTCCCCAGGAGATGAAGTCTTAACCCCCGGGACCTGTGAGCGTGACCTTGTTTGGAAACAGGGTCTTTGCAGGTGACTGAGGTAGGACAAGGCCACGGGGGTGGGCCTGACGCAGTCAGGTGTCCTCATGGAAAGGGAAGGAGGGGCGTGTGGGCAGCGTGAGACGCACGCGTGGACCACCACAGACTCGGGGAGCTGGCACCTACGGGCCGCGGACAGGCCTCGGAAGGAGCGGCCTGCTGCCGTCTCGCTCCCAGGCTGCTGGCCTCCAGAACCACGTGGACAGTCCTGCTGTCGAAGCCCCAAGTCTGGGGTCCTTGCTGACGGGGGGGGGGTCACCACACTGTGCACCACCTCCCCACAGATCGCTGTCTCTCTGCAGCAATCCGGTGGCTTCCCCAGACCCGATCTCCGGTTCACTAACTGCACCTTTACCTACATCTGCTCTGCCGGCATCCACCTGCTGAATTTCAAGTTTCAATAACTTTCCCTTTCCTCGCCTTCGCTTACCCTTGGAAAGCCGGCACCTCTCGGCTGAGTGTGTTTTACACACCTGTCTTCCAGGAACTGGGGAAATCACCACCCTGAGGCCATTGTGCATATTAATTTCTCTCTCTCTCTTTTTTTTGAGACAGAGTCTTGCCCTGTTGCCTAGGCTAGAGTGCCGTGGCATCAGCCTAGCTCACAGCAACCTCAAATTCCTGGGCTCAAGCGATCCTTCTGCCTCAGCCTCCTGAGTAGCTGGGACTACAGGTATGCGCCACCATGCCCAGCTAATTTTTTGTATGTATTTTTAGTTGGCCAATTAATTTGTTTCTATTTTTAGTAGAGACAGGCTCTCACTGTTGCTCAGGGTGGTTTCGAACTCCTGACCTTGAGCGATCCTCCCACCTTGGCCTCCCAGAGTGCTAGGATTACGGGCGTGAGCCACCGGGCCCAGTCAATTTCTCTTTTTTGAGGTTCTCAGGCCAGGCGGCCGGCGCACACACAAACCCCACAGCCCGGGGCAGGGCGGGCCAAGTGGGAGCCACTCACCGCCCGGGGCCGAAGGCACACAGGCGTCCTCGGTTTCCACGAAGCCTTCGGGACATACGCAGACGTAGCTCCCCAGGGTGTTGTAGCAGTTTTCGTCCTTCCTCGCACACGGTTTTTCAGCCAGCGAGCACTCGTCTACGTCTGAAACAGAAATGCTCCGTTTTAATAAGTTACTTGGTTTAACAGACACACATCAGCGTTTGAAATCCACTCACAATTCATTCAGATAATGAAAGCAACGGCGATTACAAAGGTCGCCCTAGACAAAAGGAAGGCCAGGAAAGGCTTTAGGAGGGTGGAATTCCACGTCTCAAAAGTTCCCAGGGGTCCTCAAACTTTTTAAACAGGGGGCCAGTCCCCTGTCCCTCAGACCGCTGGAGGGCCGTTGGGGAGTGCGGCGCACATTCCACACATGTGCACAGCGGGCCCGGGACGATTCGGCTGCTGAGCAGGACAGGCAGCGGCGGCAAAAACATCCAGCGAGCCGGAAAAATGTCCTCGGCCGGCCGCATGTGGCCCACGGGCCATACTTTGAGGACCCCTGGGTCAGACCCTCAAGCAGCAGAAAACCCAGAGCAGGAGACGTCCAGCAAAGGTGAGGCGGGAAGCCCCATGTATGCTCAGGCATGGGTACACCTGTGATCAGGCGTGGGTACACCTGTGATCAGGCATCAATACACCTGCTGCCTTTCTTCGCTCGGGTCCCAGCTGGCCCGTGACTTCCCAGACTGGTCACGCGTGACCCAGGAGGCCCCGACCCTGAGCCACAGAGGCGGCGGGGAATGTGGAGGCCGGGCACCTGAGGCTGGACCAGAGCCGCCGTCCCGGCTGCACCCACGACGCCGGAGGCAGAGCCCGGCCCCCCACCCGCTGCGCCCGCAGCTCTCGAGACCCCTGTGAGGCTCAGGGAGCCGCACCTGCCGCAGGGCCTGCTGTCTCCCGGCCCCTGGCGCCCCCATGGCCGCCGCCAACACCGGAACGGACGGATCCTCCGCAAGAAGACGCGCCAGCTGACCTGCGCACTGCCCGCCGTGCCCTTGCGCGTAGCCAGGGGACACTCTTTGCACATGCCTGGGCCGTCCCCCGTGCAGCCCACGCACGTCGGGTCGCTCTGATATAAGGAAGGACGCAGACCGCCACGTCCACACGCCGCGCCACACGCCGCGTCCCAGGGACGCCCCGCGCTGTCCACACCCTGCTGTCCACGACGACCGCCATCCACTACACCCGGTGCCACACCGCCGCCGTCACCACACGCAGATGGGATCTAACCCACAGACCGGCCAGAGGCGCCCACATGTGAGAGCTGGTTTTTATTTAAATTTTTAATTAATTTTGAGAAAATCTTCACCTCTGTTGCCCAGGCTAGAGGAGCTGCCGTGGCGCCAGCGCTAGCCACAGCCAACCTCAGACTCCTGGGGCTCAGTGATTCCTCCTCCTCAGCCTCCGAGTATCTGGGACACAGGCATGCGCCACCATGCTGCTAATCTTCTATATATTTAGTTTACCGCAGTAATTTTCCTAATTTCTAGTAGAACGGGGTCTCACTCTTGCTCAGGCTGGTCTTGAACCCTGACTTGAGCGATTCCGGCTCGGCTCCCATGGTGCTAGGCATTACAGGCGTGAGCCACCCGGCCTGAGAGACGTAGGTACACCCCCCTGCCGATCCTGGGGCGACTGCACCAGCCCGTTCTCTCCCGGAAGTGCAGCTCGCCGCGGCAGAGGTGCCCTGCGAGTCGGCAAGGGAGGCCCGTGTGAGCCGACCCGTCCTCCTTCCTGTCCAGGTGGAAACCAGACTCGGCAGTGCTCTTGCGACACAAACGCCCACCTTCGGGACCAGTCGCTGCCCACCGATATCCGTAAAGACGGCCTGGAAGACACCTGGGGGCTGCTGGGGCCACACATCTCTGCGTGCGCACGCCCACGTCGCAGTAAAAGCAGGCTGAAACGCCGGGCGTCGCAGACAGGCGCCTCCCTACTGTGGGACCTGGCGAGTCGGCCCAGCCCTGATCTGGGGACATCGTGGCCGCTAAAGTGCGGCAGTCCCTTCTCTGGATTAAAACAATCCAAAGAGAAAATAGGAATGCGAAGGTTTACCTGCAAGGGTATTCAAAGTTTATCGTCAGTTTGATGTAAATGTCCCAGCAACAGGCGGCGCGCGGCCTCAACGCCTGCGTGCCAGCACTTCTGGGAGGCCGAGCCAGAAAAACAACACAAAGAGACCCTGAGCAAGAGCCAACCGACAACAACAAACATAGAAAATTTAACTAAAATATATAATATATAGTAATAACACACACATAGTGGCGCATGCGTAAAACAACACACAAAGAAACAAACAGGAGGAGCGTTTGAGCCAGGAGTTGGAGGCTGCAGTGAGGACGATGGCAAAACAAAAACTGCATCGCAGCCTGGCGAGACCCTTTCCCAGTCCACAACACACAGAAGAATGGAACCCCCGAAGAACAACACAGGCATGCCTGTCCAGCCCCGCCTGAAAGGGCGGGCGGCCCAGGTGGCAACGACACCTTCGCAAGGAAAGGACCTGATGTCATGCAGTACCTGCGCGTCGGTGCAGGGGCGGCGTCTCCGCGCGCGTCCGC